TCCAAAGCAAGTGATGATTGTGATGGTTTAATAATCGGAAAAGATTGATCAAAGAAAAAATCAAGACTCTCCATACAAGCCTTTGGATCTATTTGTGTTTGTTGCATTTTTTTTGTTGTTGTGTTTTGTAAAAAGTTTTGCAAATTTTGATGTTCATGGGCAATTTCCTAGTTCACCTCCTCACAAAAATTGAAAGTTCAATAATGTGTTAAATTTCTCAATATAAGACGCAGCCAGAATTGGAAGAAATAAACTTGTTGCATGAATATAAAATTACAATCTCTTGACTTTCTTTTATTTGAGTTAACTCTGTCATTATAATTGGAAAGAAGAGTGAAACAATTTTTGAATTTCCTTAGAAAATCTCTAGTTGTTTATCCGGAAGCAGTTGCAGGATCAATTTCTGGAGTTGTTTCAGTTGGTTGTTGATCTGGTTGTGGTTGTTCAACAGCAGCATCAGTTGGTTGTTGACCATTATTCATGGCACCAGCAATTTGTTGAACAGCATCCCAAACTTGGGTGGCCTTTTCAAGTGGATTTTCAGTGTTCAAGAATTGTTCAACCTTTTCAACACCTTGTTGTCCCTTTGAGGTTAAATCTTGACCCTTTTGGATGACTTCCATGGCCTTATTGATGAATTCAGCTTTACCACCAGTAACCTTGTTGAGGTTTTCCAAAATACCAGAACCAGTACCTAAAATTCCTTGCATTTTACCCAAGAAATGCTTAGCACCTTCTGGATTGACAGCAACCTTTCCATTTTCATTCTTCAAGAATAAATTCTTGAACAAGTTTGGATCCATATTTTGAATATTATTCTTGACACCATTGACACCTGAAACAATGTCGTTTCCACGGCCAATAATGGCTTGTCCCTTACCCAAAGTTTGAATGAGCTTGTTCAAACCCTTACTCTTACCTCCAGTCAAGTCATTAACTCTACCAAGGAAATCTTGTCCCTTACCCAAAGTTTCTTGAACTTTACCAATTCCATTTTGGAGACCATCAAGAGTTAACAATTTCTTAAAATCGGCACCTCTCAAATTCTTCAAATTCTTCAATGAATCAACACCTCCCTTAATACCATTCAAAGCATCAGTTCCAACACCAGTGAAAGTTTGAGCCTTATTCAAAAAGCCCAAACCCTTATTAACAAACTTGCTCTTTCCATTGGTAATCAAGTTCAAATTTTGGAAAACTTCTTGTCCCTTACCAACCAATTGAGAGGCCTTTCCAAGGAAGTTTTGACCCTTTTGGAAGATGTTAGCACCCTTGAACAATTCAGATGGCTTGAATGATGAAGCCAATCCCTTCAAATTAGTGGCAGATAAACCCTTCAAACCAGAAAGGATATCAGTACCTCTACCTAAGAACATTTGACCCTTGCCAACAACTCCTGAAACCTTATTCAAGAATCCAAGACCCTTATTCAAGAGCTTTGATTTACCACCTGTAATCTTATTCAATCCACCAAGAATAGCTTGTCCCTTTCCAACAATTGATCCAGCTTTAGAAAGGAGAGCAGCTCCCTTAGCCAAACCAGCTCCAAAACTTCCCATTGAACCGAGCAATGCACCACCAGCACCACCAGTAAAGACAGTAGCAGCAATTGGAATGGCAACTTTAGCAACCTTTCCAACAACTCTGGCGGCCTTTCTAATAAAACCTCCAACTCTTCTGAAAACTCTTCTAAATCTAAACATGCTCTTGGAGAGGGCTCTAGCTTCAGCATCACTCAAAGTAGAGACATATTCCAACAAGACTTCATCAGCTTCAATGTCAAAGTTGAAGGATTCCATGTCAGCCAATACCATTTCACAATGGTTGTCAAATGATGGATGATCCATTGATGTCATCATGAGTTGATCTGCCAAAACTTGCAATTCTTGTTTGTATCTTTGTTGTTTAGCAGCGAAGGCTGATTGTGTGGTGAAACACAATACGAGCGCAACTGTCAGCAAAAGTGCCAATACTCCTCTTACAACTGACATGTTTCGAATAATTTTTTTTTTGTAGGATGATTTGTAAAATAGAACAGTGATGGTTGATTTTAAACAAAGAATATTATAATCGAGTTAGTTATCATAATCGAAAGATGGCTTTCGAATAGATTGTACGCAAGATAATCGTGATTCGTTCAGAATAGTTGGTTTCTGAAAAAATCTAAATTGAAAATTCCAATGTATTAATTTCTATTAATTTGTATTGTAAAGTTTATTGAACTACAGCTGAATTTTTAATATTCATTAGTCCTTGTTTACTTGAAATTTTACGAGTTTTTTGGTGAAGAAA